GCTAGTTGCTTCTCTGCTAGATGGCCACTTATTTATCTTCAAGCCTTTAAGACCTCAGACGCTATATCTTTTGATAGCCAGGCATTATCAGCTTTCTTCACCACATTTGCTTATGCACCCGCATTGTCTTCAGCAATCGCGTCAGGAGGATAGGCATCACAGAATGCCAGGATGTTAAAACTAAGTGTTCTTGTGTTGAGGGAGGACTTGAGCACAGTCCGTCCACTTCCTCAATGTTTTTCCATATAAATACTATGAATTCGTATTTTTATGAATTAATACATTTACATAAGTGCACACCTATGTTTATACCTCTATCCATAGCTTTGCTTCCTAAATCTTTCCTGTTTCCTTTCACCTTCCTCCTGCTCCAGCATCACGCTCACCCTACTGCTGTCTCTTATTAATTCCTCTCGGCTAGACTGCTATTGCTCCAATACCACCGGAACCTCTATATCCTCCTTGTTGCTACCTTCAATCCCCCAGCTGTTCCCCCGTCCATGGCACTGTTTGCGCACCACTCCTTTCCCCCAGCTCCTTCTCCTGGGTGGGGTTTTTAAATGCTACATTTTCAGGAGGAGATTGAGTTCTGAAATGTTTCAATAAATATATGCCTTGCCTAGAGAACAGTTTTAAGAATGAGTTCATCTTGATGGAAAGTCAGTCCCTACTGACTCTTGCCTTTCCAAAAAGGCTGAAAAGTTAACAGTCAGTCAATGATTTAATGATTTATTGAAGGCGGGTCTCAATTTGAACATGTAATAATTCAAAAGGATTTATGAGAAGAGATATAAGAGTTAGGGCCTTACCATTTAATCAGCCTGGGGGCATGTTATGTAACTTTCCAGTCTCAAGTCTTAATGGGTCCACAACAAGGACAAGACTCCCTGCTTTGCAAGGTTGTTGAAAGGATTAAGCACGGCATTAAGATGCCAGGGAGCATGGTTGATGCCCAGCAATTATCTTCTTTTCCCATGAAAACAACGCTACACATGCTGGGTCAGCAGCTTCTAGATCAGCTGAACAAAATATAATTTCACTCTCACACACTTAGCTGACTGAACTCAACCAGCTGCGGAAGGACAGAATGGACAAGACCATCAGTGGGGAAAACAATGAGAGCATGTCCACCAGGCAATTGGGAGTAACATGAAGGACTATAGGCATTTAACCCACAGACAGCCCTCTGGGATGGTCTCCTCTTGCCTTAGGGGCACT